ATGGTGACATGTTATCTAATGAATCTGCATTTTCTTAGAAAAAAAAAAAAGAAGAAAAAAACCTTTTCCAATAACATTTGCAATAACGTTTCGAATGAATCAACAGCGACAGACTATATTGGTGACTGCAGTTTTCTTTCACGATGAACCGAAGCTGCATGATGTGACCTTAATGATCACCAAGACGTATCAAAACAGGGAGGAAGCAAACGGCTCAATCATCAAAAAACTTATGTAGAATAAAGATGCTGTTTTATTAAAGATGTTTTTGTAGCCATCTGTGCTGAAGAGATGGCAAATTTAGTTGAAATATTTTAGAGTATTAAATTTATGTGAAGAGAATTTTGGGTTCTTTGTATTCATGTAGCATATGAAACAGGCTACAACTTTTTTCTCTACACAAAAATATTAATGAATGACATATTTTATAGCATCACAATACTGTCAAATCATTTCAATTATTCTTTAATTTTTTTGCTATGTAACAGACTAAGTTGGTTTTATACAAGGCAGATTTTGTGCTCGTCTGTTTGCTCTAAAACAGACTTCAGTAACTAGGTTGCACAACCTGATAAAAATCTGCTGAAAAATGTGGTTAAAATTTCAATTTAAAAGAAAGAGTTTTGAGATTCTTGTCATACTGCCCAGATATGGCAATAATATCAAATATTTACTGCTTATAACCAACCTGCTGTACTTCAGTCAGAAGAGCGTAGGCACTCTGGATTTGTCTCTTACTCAGCTTGCCAAGTGGCATCTTCTGCAGATCAATCTGTCAACAGGACAAGAACAAAAAGACTTCACTAATTGTAAAACTAAAACAGCATCTTAAATTTGCAGTACAAACAAAAACAAACAAACAAAAAAAAAACCCTCAACAATTGATATTTACTACTTAGAACAAAACTACTGAGAAAAAGGCCAAAGAAATCTAACATCTCATATTTTAAAAGAAGGATTACCTCAAACTCAACCATGGCCTTCTTCATGCTTTCTACATCAAAGATCATCTTGATCAGATCCTGAACTGGTTTGTCCAGCTTAGACTTCGTGCCAGCAGAGGCCGTCAGCCGCCTCACAGCTTCCTCATCCTGAAAATAAAGCATTGCAAAATAAACACCTTAAAATGCACCAGAAGTTTTGTTTTTAAGGTTTGTGGGTCTGTGTTGGTACCTGTCCATAGTCAATCTCCAGAGGGTAGAACTTGTTGGGATATTTAGTGAAGTTGGAGGTACCCCACTCATTTCCAGTCTTTTCCTTATAAACCCCCAGGAAATTATCCAACGCAGAGTTCTTGTCGTGAAATTTGTCCAACTTGTTGCCTCCGATGGTGGTGCCCACTCTGCCCCAAGACCTGAAAACCCAGTATCTGCAAAACACATAGCAGAAGGACACATGGGTTAAAGTGGTCAAAGGGAAATAAGAGCCTGAGAAGCAGCATAAGAAACTATTGTGTGATATTATACTACAACAAAGGGATGTTACCTTTTTTGTACATCATCCTCCAGCAGCTGCAACTTATAATAAGAGTTTGTTCCTCTGATGATGTCCACAAGACCCAAAGTAGCACTGTACATCTTCCCATTCTGTTCCAGGACATGGGCACTGTTCTCAAGACCTGCAAAATACCCATTAAAGTTAGTGGAAAATATGACAAAAGACAAAGATTATAATTATTGTTGATATCTACCCGAGTCTGGATCCACAGCAGCTCCGCCTTTGACTGTCAGCTTCATCTTCTTGGTCTTACTACCACCTGCATGTTGACAACTTCCACTTAATGACCCTCCTTTTACATCACTAATAATTACCACATCTAGCAGCGTTTACCTTCTTCCTCCTTTACCCTGCCGGTGCTCTTGGCAGACAGAGCTCCAGATTTAGAGGTTGCAGCTGGAGCCTGAGGTTCAGCCTTAATTTCTGCACCCCAGGGAGAGATGGCGTGAAGAGACACCAGCTCCTGAAGAGCTTTACCCGATGACTTGATGTCTGTGAGGAAATCCTCTGAGACCACTCGCACGCCTGCATCTCTCACTTCCTCCATCTTCTTACCCATCTTCTCCACCTCCTCTGGAAAGATAGTTCCAAAAAAAAAACAAAAAAACAATATCCCATTAAAAATGACATTTCCAATCGTCACAGGCCAAGGTAGATTGTTACTTACTCCTAGAGCTGAGACAGAGAGAGGCTTTATTGGCAGTGCCGGTAATTTTTCCACCCAGTTCCTCCACAGCTGTCTTCAGATCATCTTTGTTTTTAGATAACTTGCCAATAGCCAGCAGCTTCACACCAGTTAGAGGTTTGTCTATTCAATAAAAGGCAGAGAACAATTTTCATAACTTACTTTTTGAAAAAAATAATCCATTTGACCAGGATAAATTTATCTGAACGAAAAAACTAAATAAATCCTAGCTTAGCACTTTAGCTAGAAGTGAAAATTGAAGGATACGTGGTGTTTAAAACCTTTAGAAGCTTGGATGCATTTGAATGAGTCAAGTCTGTTGTGCCAGAGCTGCAAACCCAGAAGTGAAAATTTGCTCAAGGTCAGTCAGAGTTGCCAACGCTTGGCACCTATACTAAATGTGTTTCAGGTCCAGGATTTGAGTAGACCATTCTAATACAAGCAATCCTAACCTAAATTAGGGTTGCAAACAATTAATTGTCTTATGACTACTTGTTGATTCATGGTTGATTTCAATAAAATCAGTTCCAATCGATTAACGTCTGCTTAGACCTTTGTTTATGTTTTAGTTTGGCCGCCACCCAGAAGAGGGCGCTGTTGGTCATCCTTAAGTGGAGCCAGTCTGTGTGTAAACTTGGCAACAGTTTCTTTCTCAAAATTGAACTCCACGCATCATTTCATTCCACTTCACAATTCAAACAAATTCAAAAATGCTCATTAGACACAAAATATGAGAAGGTTCAAAGAGTTGTGAAAACTTTTTCATGCCACAATAGATGAGAGGACATTAGATATTTAAAATCAGGTGTCCATAGTATCCTGAAACAAATGTTCAGGTTTCTCTTACCTGAAGGTGCTGCCTCCAGCAGTCGCTCACTGGGAGCACTGGAAGCACTCGCCAGGGTTTCAGCTTTCGCTGGTTTCAGAGTTTGAACAGGAGCCTCCTTGGGGTAAACCCTGTCCTGCCCCTTGAATTTAAATTTCTTTAGAAAAGGAACTTCGTGGAACTCCTGAAATTACATGTGAAATGGCCAAATGAAATAGAAATACAAATCCAAAGTACATGTGTTTTTCACTTTCCGAATGCTAATGACAAATAGTGACCCACCTTAGGGATGACAAAGTCTTTGCGTGAAGGAGTTTTGGTTTTGAACACACACTTTGTCCAGGCTGAAATGTCTCCAGAACAGTAATACAAATCTCCTTTGAACACCAGCTGGCCCTTGCACTCCTGACAGGATTCCAGAGCACCGAAGGCCATGCCGTCAGCCAGGCTGTCCAGCACCTGGGTGGAGACAACGTTCTCTTCAGACTCTAGGAAACCCCAAACCACTGACAGTTACATAAAAATGTCTATTTCTAACCATTTCAACTGTTTTGAAAACACATGCATTAAATCTGGGATTCATTTTATAAACAACTTTTTCAAAACAACCTTTTACCTTTTTTAAATTCTATACTTTTAATTTCATACCAACTCCTAGATCTTTTCTGCATTTTAAAACATCCTACAAATTTGAGAACAAAATAATTACCTGTTTTATTACCTTATTGAAAACTGCTTCAAAGTTGTTTTTTAATCTGTACCAACTAAGATCAGCACCAACTAAAGCCTATTATACATTGACTTGTGAAATCTACACTGGATTATTTTACACTAAATACAGAATCTTTAAAGCAGAGATTGTGAATGTCAGATTAACTCATTTTTTGAGCAAAAGTAATAAAAATCTAATTAAATTAAAAATGAAAGTGTCAAATGCAAGTACCAAGATTCTGGTCTAAAAATGTTTAAAGGCCAAAAATAATCATAAAACTGCCTTTATCTCATTTTTGAGTGAACATGCTTTTATGCCTGTAATTATTGAAAAACAAACTTAAAACATATTATGTCAAATGAAAGATACAGTAGACCTAAATAAAAATTTGTTTGAATTATGGTCCAGATTGATATATTTTACGAATCTTATGCACATTTACTATCTGTATACAAAGAACAGGATTTTTTTTTCAATTCTCTTACGTTGGACTCTCCAGAGGGAACCTCCTGGCCGTTTGCAATCAGCAGCTCCTTCATGTCGTTGACTGAGCAATGTTTCTTCAGCTTGTCTTTAATACCCCAGATCAGCTGGCTTTGATTCTGTTCATATATGCAGACAAGATGTGCATTACCCAAACCAGTTTATCAAGGCCAAAGACCCCTAAACATTACTTCATGAATAAAGAAGCAAACAAAAGTACCTTCAATTGCTCCTCAAGCTTCTTCTTCTCCTCCTCTTCCTCTTTCTTCTGCTTCTTTGATGCTCCGTCCACCTCATCCAATTTACGCTTCCTGTGGAAACAAATACAACTTTAGTCGCAAACTTTGGCGGATTTTCAGAGCTCAGAGGACGAAGGAAAAGGTCAGAAAACATCATCATCAACTTCCTAAATGAGGTGCAGTGGGACAGAGCACAACAACAAAGGTGAGATCCAAACAAGCCTGAATCTGACACCTTTATTCATTAAAACTAATTCATTAGGGCCCCATCGGTTAACAGACGGCCATCCAAACGCAAGCTGGTGCACGTCTGCACCATCCCTGGCGTCGCTGATGATGTCCGGACAGGAAAAATCACCGTCCCAGAGAGACCATTAACGCAGCGTTAATGACCGCCTGTCGGGAGCGTCCTCACTTTGATTCATTTCCACTTCAGGAGAAACAAGACAAAAAACCTCCCTGATCGGACAACAGGTGACAGGAGGAGTAAAGAAAGAAGCTATTTAAATCTGAATCTTGCAGATTTGTTCACACAGAAGATGGCTGTTGTCTGGGTGACACAAATGATGCTCCAACGATCCTAAACGACACATTATGAACCGGTGAGTAACCATACAGCTGTAATGCCTCAAACATAATTACACTAATATAATGACAAGAGTTTTACAAGAATACCATATTCTTTCCTTCTGCTTCACACTGATGTTCTTCTAATATTGGTTATGACAATACTTTTATAAGACAGTTTATTCGTTTTCAAGAATAAAATCTGACTTTGACTGGTCTAATTTGTCTTTTTAGGAGAATGATGGAGAACCCGACAGCTCCTTTGTTCCTCCATGATCTCAAACAAAACACCAACTCATCTCATGGAGAGCCACTAAATGTCTCACTGTTTTCAGTTTCCCCGTCTCCACCTGCTGACGTTGTCATTTCCCCCAATGTGCCGTACATGACAGCTGAGCTCATCATCGCCCTTTTGTCTACTCTGGGTAATTTGCTGGTATGCGCCGCAGTGGGTCTCAACCGCAAGTTACGCACCGTCACCAACTACTTCCTAGTGTCGCTCGCAGTCGCAGACATCTGTGTGGGCATGATCGCCATCCCCTGTGCCATCCTGACAGACACCGGCTTACCGCGTTACAACCTCTACCTCTGCCTCCTCATGCTCAGCGTTTTGCTCATGTTCACGCAGAGCTCCATCTTCAGCCTCCTGGCGGTGGCTGTGGAGCGGTATGTCGCAATTTTCATGCCCTTCCGCTACCATGTGCTGATGACTCCTTGCAACGCCATCCTGGTTATCCTCACCACATGGTTGCTGGCCTTCCTCATCGGACTTGTGCCTCTCATGGGTTGGCACAAGACGCCGCCCGATTCCGGCTACTGCTTCTTTGTGCTGGTGGTGGACATGACCTACATGGTCTATTTCAACTTCTTCGCCTGCGTGCTGGCGCCCCTCGTCATTATGTTCCTCATCTACGCTCAGATCTTCGTCACGGTCAAACAGCAAGTGCGACGGATCGGAACGGAGCAGCGGAGACGTGCCCAGGGCCAGAGCCAAGCGGCGGCCAGCATGCGGAGGGAGATGAAGATGACCATGTCTCTTTTCCTGGTTCTTTTTCTCTTCACCGTCTGCTGGATCCCTCTTCACATCATCAACTGCTTCCTGCTGCTCTGTCCACGCTGCCCCGTGCCGCTGGAACTGCTGCTTGCTGCCATCATCCTGTCGCACGCCAACTCTGCCGTCAACCCGTTTCTGTACGCGTACACCATGACGGCTTTCAGAGACACTTTCAAGGGTATTTTCTTGTGCTGCAGGCTGTTGCGAGACAGAGAGGAGTCGAACCAGCACAACAGAGGAGAAGAAACAAACACCAGGTCGAACCAGTGATCCACAACAACACAGAACTTGTAAATATTACTGTCCATTTTCCAAGTAAAAATTCCAGATATTAAAGACCTTTTCCCTGGTCCGTATTGGGAGGAGAAATCTGCCCTAAAGTTTAGCCTCGAACCAAAAAAAAATAAAAATAAAAAAATATAATCAAACCGAACCGAGTCCAATGCTTATGGACTTGGTCCGGTTTGACTTTCTTTTTTTTTTTTTTTGCCTGACCCAACCTGCTTCTAATGCATTTCTAATACAGTATGAAAATAAGGGTGTTTAAATAAAAAATCTGCAGAACGTGCCAATTTTTCATCTGAATAGCTGATAGAAAATCAGATACTAAAATAATGTATAGTCTATTCTTCATATTTATTCTCCAGGCCTGGGAAATACTTTAATCCCAGGCTTATCCAGGCTGTTTAGAAATCTGTTTGTTCTGTTTTTTCTCTCACCCTTCAGATTTGACAGCAGGCAGCCTCTTCTTCAGCTCCGCCTGGTCTTCTGCACGCAGCGCGTTGAATCCCTTCAGCTGTGCGCCGTTGTATTCGGGTCTAAACACCAGCTCCTCCCTGCGGGACACGAAGCACGCCGTGTGGTACCAACGGTCGATCAGGCCCAGCTGAGGCTTCTCCGGGTCCACTGTCTTCTTGGACACACGAATCTGGTCCTGAACGAAAGTCCAGAAGATGCCACACGTGTGAAAAAAAAGTCTCTGCAAAGCAACTAGATTTAGTTATTGTCCAATGGGTGCAAAATTGGTGCAAACCTTTTCTATTTTCTGCTCGCAGCCTTTGCATGTGCTGCGGTTCGACTTGGCATATTCCACCGCAAAATCATTCAGAGTCTTTTCTCCTTTAGCTGCACCTTTCTGGCTACCCTTTCCTGCAAAAATGACACGTATGCCAAAAATTTATTAACTTAATCCAGCAATATCTTTAGAACAATAAATGGGAAAAGCCAATTATCATAAGCAGATCAGCAGATGTTTGTTTTTCCACTTTACACTAAATAAAAAAAACACATTGTTGACTTAACAAGACCTTTTACGAGCAATTTAAACCAGACAGCTTAATTAGATTTGCTCAAGAGAAGGGATGAGAACATCCATCGTCTTCACGAACCGAGCACTGACCTATTCCGACAGCTCCGCCGCTTTCGATGGCCTTTTTCACTTTCTCCTGGTCCTCCCAGCGCAGATCGGAAAATCCGGCAATGTCGGCCGTGGACTGAGCCGCCGCCCGCAGCCAGAAGCAGGAGAAGTGGTGCCAGTGGGGGACCTTCCCGTCAAACATGGGCGACTGCAGGACGAATGTCACAAAGCGTCCACAGAAAGTTTACAACGAAGCAACAGCAAACATCAGATATAGGGGGTATGTCACATAATCATGTGAACGTTTCAGCGAGGAGATGTAATCACAATCATTTGAAGATTTTGCTCCCATAAAAGATTGAAATGGTCCTTATTGTATTAATTGAAAACTAGAAAGGCTGAATAAATAAAACGTAGTCTTATTTTGAATATATAACTGAGATAACTATAACTGAATTATTAACTGTGCATCTGCACCAAGTTAAAAATATTTTGAAAACTATAAATAAATCTAAAATCTTTCTTCTAACAGCTTCCTGTTTACGCTTTAATGGCTGGACTTCATGGGAATTGATTCTGTCAATAATAACTTAATTTACTGAATGTAACAAATATTTTATCTTGTACAGAAAGAAGGAAATTATTTGTGTTTATCTATACCTACATTTGAAATTAATAAACATAACACACAAATTTATTTTACTGACATCTCAACTGGGAAGAACTGCTTTGAATTTGTTTAATTTTTGAAACCTTTCGAATAAGATGATGGTGAAAATTATGTAGACAAAATTGTAACAAAATTATTTTAACATTTTTTACATCTTAATTTAAGGTAATACAAATGGAGGTTTATATTTTTTATATGTTTATGCATTTAAATAAATGTAAAATAATTGAACTATTTTCTCCCATGTTAGTATTTTTAGTTGACTGAGATTTTGATAAAATATTTTATTTTCTGCGTTATGTATCAGTTATTTTTAAACGAGTTATGTTTTCATTTACACGGAAAAAGTGTAAAAGATAGTTTTAGTAAACCAAAACAGAAGGCGACTAATTCGCTTAGAAATGAAAAAGAAAAAGAAAAGAATTTCCAAGGAGATTCAAATGTTTTCAGCTTTTTGAAAAAGCAGTGGTCATCTTCGGCTCCCCTGTCACTGATGTAAATAAATCAATCAAATGAAAAAAAAAGTGAACATTTCCAGTCAGATAATGGCTTTTCTTTTTAATCTGACTGATTCTTCAAAGCCAGAGGATGAGGAGGTGAAAAAAATAATAAAAATTGTATGAATTTTTTGATTAGTGCTCATTCATCCACTTTGTCAGCGTCAATTGGGTGATAAAACTGGTAGAACTGCTGACTTTTGCTCAAAGCACTGACTCACTAATTAAACTTGAACTAAATAATTACACTTTAGAGTTAAAAAGGAGAATGATTTCAAAGCTGGAGCTGCTCCACGGGCCATGAATCAGGAGGTCGACTTTAAGAAGCCTCATAAGCAGGTTTTAGACTCTTAAAATAATTATTCCTCCATGGGGAGGTGCACCAGTGTGCACTGTTTGGAGGAGCTGCAGATTCAGTCTGAACTTGATCACTCTGTGCCTATTTGCTGATATTTACCCTTTTGAGTCGTCCAGGGAAGTCCAAGACAACAAATGCAAAGAAAAGCTGAGCGGTTCTTTGTGAGCAACAACTTAGCACACAGTGTCAGCCATTTAAATGCTAACTAGGGCCTCACTGAGCTGAACAGAAACCACTTTTTCATCCTCCTTTTCCAGCTTTCTAGCCAGTTCACAATGACTCCAAGTGTTCACAATAAGCCAAATCAATTATAAGCCAGTATGGGTTTAGTTAGCTGCCCCACAGGGGAGATTTCTCGGAGAAATCAGCAGCAGACGTCACCAGCTCACCTGCACCATGATGGCCATCCTCAGCGAGTCTTTAGCGATGCTGTCTTTGCATTTCTTGCAAGAGGCGCGGCCGCTTTTGGCGTACTCCGCCTTGTACAGCTTCTCCTCCTGGTTGTCCGCCATAGCTGTGCGTGTGTGTGTGGTGATGAAGCGAAACAAAGCGAAGAGACTGCGAGAGCAACTTTCTCCCAACCGGCCCGCGACACAACAATCACAGGCAGAAGAGTCAGCGAAGCCCGCGTGCCTCCACAGAGAGGACACTGCAACGAAGAGCACTCACTCTGAACAGATTTCCAAAAACTTATTAAAAGTAATAACAATAATAACATTTTATTAGTATGATTATTATTATTATTATTGAGGAAATATAAGTGTCTGAGTTTTTTTTTTTGAGGAATGTTAACACATAGATATGATTAGATTTTCAACATCCAGCAGATTAATGTTTTTTCAGTTCTCAGTGTTTTCTTGTGTCTTCTCAGCTGCTTTTCTGATTAATACTCTCCTTTCCACCCTTTTCCATTTTCAAACAACGGATTATCAGTGCTCTGTCATAGATTCAGAGTTATTCAATAATAATGTCTAAAAAAAGACCTCTTGAAGTCTTCACACAACAGTAGTTATGTTAAGGTGAGGTTATTGAGGTAAAATCACACAAAGGCACATTCTAGTTACTAATTATATGACAACTAAAGACAGCTAGTTGCCATGAATATTATTTAGGAGCACCATAGTAATGGGGGTTTTATAAAATGTAAATATTGAAGATTTATTGCATAGTTTCACATTTTATTGCTCATCTTTCTGTTTCCACACATTATGTGATCACGTTGCATCAGGTAATCTGTTCTTCAATTTGCACTTTATATGTTCTGCATCTTTATTACTTATGGTTAACTCCTATTGTTGTTGGCTGGCAAGTCTTATTTCACATCAACTAATTTTTCTTATTTCATCCAAATTGTTTCACGTTTTCATTTTGAATGCATTTTATATTCTTGAGGAAATCTCCTAGTCTGAACCTTGGGTCCTTAAGTCTTCAGCTACTATCTTTTTTTTATTACGTTTTTTTATACCAGCGAGTGAACCATCTTCGAAATAGACGATTGTTAGCGTATACCCGCGATTGCTGCAGTCATGACCAATGGAGATGCAGAAAAGTCGAGCTCAAGATTTCACTAATACTGTTATAAAATACTATTTCTTTACACAGTCTGGTGCTAGTGTTCTGGTGAAATCTAGAAGAAGAAGAAGAAGAAAAAACTTCTAACCTGCTAAAGGTATTGGATTTATAATCCACAGTTGCATTTAAGATTAACCTGAAATCCTGCAGCAAATTTTTTGGGGGATTTATTTAGAAAAAAGTGGAAAAGGGAATATTTGACACTGGTACTAAGTTGGAGGAAGAAATTACATAAACATTGAATTGAGTTTTAATAACGTCTCAGGAGAACACAATTTAATATAAGTAAAAAAAACAACTAACTTGAACAAACAAAAATAAATAAATAATCAGGAGACACAAATTCCCCTTTGCCCATTTTATTGGATGAAATTATAGAAAAATAAATACAATGCATATCTGTAAAATGAACAGAAATATTTTGCTTTAAAAAAAAAACATCTGTATATTACTTATTATGACTGCACAATAAGAGCACAAAATAACAAGCACCTACTGCATCAAGTCTGTTATAAAATATATGGTTAATTAAACAAGTTACATTCTTTATAATTTGTTTTACAAAAAGAGAAGAGTTACATGAGTTTTTCATTTATACAAAGACAAAAAAAGAGAAACCAAACAGGAGATAACATGAACAGACAGAATGTACCTGTTAAAGGTACTAAATAGGTGAAGAACAATAAAGTGAAAACATTTGTTCACAGTTTAATAGGCCTTTTGAGCTGGTCTTCTTGAGGTATTCTGTGTTTTGGTTCAAAAGTCTGTCATCTTGCCAGAATATTATTCCAGCAAAGAATCGTTGGCTTTTCCTGAACTAAATAAAATGGCATAAAAATTGTTTTCAAGTCAATTTCAAAGCAATATTCAGACAACACCACTCTGAACCTTTACCACATAGATTAAGAAGTCACAAACAGCTTCGGAGTCGGAGGAGTGCAGAGGAAACCAGAACAAGAATTTTTGGCAAGTTTTTACTTTGTCCTGTAAACTTGGAGAAACGTCATTTTTGGACCATTTGGTTTACTTCCTGCAGCGCTCAGCACTGCAGTTTGCTGGGGGTTAAACCAAAGTTCCCATTGGCTTCTCTCATCTTCTCCTTGTGCCTGGCCTGGACGAGGCCGTGCACCACTTCGGCCAGGGTCATGCGACCTCCCGCTTGGCCCGCTGAACACTTCTCTCCTCCAACTCTGCCCCTTTTACTGCGCATGGTGGTTATGAAATATGTACGAACTTTCCCGTGGCATTCACTTACCTAAGGCATCAAGTAGAGAAATAAAATGTAAAGGATCGTTTTTAAGTCACAGTCAATGCAATTTACTAAGGTATACGGTGTTTATATAAGCAAAGTCTTGCAAAAGTGTTCATCCCTTTTGAGGTATTTTTTCCCTACATCTTGTTATGTCACAATAACAAATATTTTACGTATGCGACTGATATTTTATGTGGATCAACACAAAGTAGAACATAATTGTGAAAAAGTACATGTGCACTAAACAAACCAGAGCTTTAAAGAAGAGAAGCGAGAATAAAGCTGTTAAAAGAAAGAAATAAGCCCTCACTTTTGCTATTCGTTTCAAAGTATATGTCTGAATTAAGTAAATAAAGTATATGTCTGAATTCAAATATTTTTATTCTTAACTGAGCCTAGAAATGACTTCAAATTGCAGTCTTATGACACTTTATCTTACCCCCTTAATAAATATCTCTCCTCGAAGTTCCAGAACAAATCCCCATTCTGCCAAGATCTTACGGGTGGCCTCAGGAACCTGAATGCGTCCGCTCACACCTGTGCTGTCCATGCGACTGGCCAAGTTTACTGTCGATCCCCAGATATCATACTGGGGTTTGCTGGCACCGATCACACCTGCAATCACCGGTCCGTGGGCAATACCTGGAAGAGTCCAGTGTTAAGTGTTTCTTTGGAGGTTTGTGACCAAAGACATCACAACAGGACGTCACAGTTTCTTGTCCATAGGCCTTTAAAACCTTCTTGGATTGTGTGGCATCTTGAAAAGTGTCAATAGAAATCTGGTGGCTTCTACCAGAAAAGTGAAAATGTGCCATCGATTGATTTAGCCAAATAAGTAAGACAGACATGAAGTGAATCATCTTCAATGAAATGTTTTTAAAGAACAAAAAGGTGCCAAAAAACAAGGCTTTTTTAAGCTTTCTATAACATGGGTGGAAGGAACTATGTGGAGGAGCTCAGTTACTTACCCACACGCAGCCCAAAGCTTTGGGCAGAGTGGTTGTTTATCTCTCTTAAAATCTCCTGCATCGCCAAAGCAAACAAAACCAGCTCACTCAAGTGATTCCACTCATCCAATGATCCCTAGAAAAAAATGCAGATTGATTGCCCGTGAAGCCAAGTCATGTTCCAGAAATAAAATTTAAATAAACTTAATCTGATGATCCAATAAGTTACATAGAACAGTGGAAGAAGTTTATATACACTCATCTAAGTCATTCTGTCTTACTTTCTGTTTTATTAACAACAGAACAGAAATGTTGGAGTACTGGATCTATTTTAGGTAAAACAATGAAAGTGTAAAATCTCACCTGTTTGTTTGGAGCTAAACCAGACGCTGCCATGTAACAACTTCCAATTGTCTTGATCTTCTCCACGTAGTGGAAGTAAGATTCCTCCAATAGCTTGTTCGAAGACAACAGTACAAAAGCTTAATTTTTTTACATCTGTGCTTTGTCATTATTTCTGTATTTTTTGCCATGCACATAGTAGTTCTTCCAAGAGGCAAACTAATACAGATCCCAGGGTCTCCTGCTACATACTCACCTCATCGAAGCCGGCTATGATCTCGTTAAGCAGTCGGAGACAGTCCACTCCTTCATGTTTGACCTCCTTCTCCTCAAAGTACTCATCAAACCCGGCAACAGAAGCAAACATAACACCCACTTCATCGTAGGACTGGGAATAAAGGTCCTACAGAGAAAATTGTGACAAACACATTAATAGGGATTAATTGATCAAACAGCTGGAGACCTGAAGCAACAAATTTTCCGTTGATTGCAGATTTTTCCTTTACTCATTAAATGCATTAAAACTACCAGTTTTGGTCAATATGCACAACAACCAACAACATGTCAGCTGTTGTTTTTTAATGCAGTTAAAAAAAGAAGCTAAAGCCTTTTTTTAATTCAGTCTGATGTTTTAATTTTGGGGTCTGATAATGATTTGGAACATAATCAACATGATCTTGTGATTCCTACATTTTTTTGTGAAAATTCTATCGAAGAACTCGCTGCACATTTCCCCTTTCTCAAAGAAAGTTGAGCCTTTATAATATAAAAGATCAGAGTCAGGTAAAATCTGAAGGATTTCCACTTAAAAAAAATACTGGACATTGGTATCGGCCAGGAAAAGCCCGATCGGTGCGTCAACGTTTATCATTCAGCGCTAACCCAGGTTGTGCATTCACAGAAATGACTCTGCAGCCTCTGGGAAGAGATGCCACCCTTACCTCATCGTGTCTGCTGCGCTCCAGAAAATGCTGTGCGACATGCAAGGGCAGGATGTTGTGCAACAAACACTCGTTGTGTTCTCGCAGCTCCCTCATGTCCTCCACCTCCTGCTGAGCCTGCAGACGCCACAAGAAGTCCAGTCTGGCAGTGGCCTCCCACTGGAACGCAAACAGAGACAGAGTCACCATCCACTTTGGAATGCAGGTTGAAAACATGAAGACGTCTCAGCGACACAATGAACAGGGAAAACAGAGAAAATAATCAGCTCACAAATACCTGCCGCCCGTTGTAGAAGACAGCTACAATAAACATCGCCATGAGAAGAATAGAAATACATTTTCTCCTGATATAGTGGGACCTGAGAAAACAGAGAGGAATAAAAAATGTTACAAATACATCTTGCATTCGAACGGACCGGCTTGCTGGCAAAATGTAAAATCAACCGTAAACAAACTGACCTGTGCTGGGCGTCGCTACGTGTGAGCGTGACAAAGGCGAGGTGTATGAGGTAGGAGTACACCATCACCACCAGCAGCAGCACCGCCAGCTTCAGCAGGGAGTTCAGGCGCAGAAACACGGCACACGTCACCATGGCGACCACGCCACTCAGCACGAAGATCTAGAGGATTGCAGCAGAGAGGACAGGAAGATTATAATCTAGAGTTATCGACAGCGCTCTCCACATTTATTGAAAACCCCGTTGGAGATGCGTAAAAGTCCTTCAATCCAATCAGTGGGAGTCCTCATAACGCAGTTAAAAAAGAAGCTAAAGCCTTTTTCAATTCAGTCTTGAGCAAATATTTTCCTTTAAGTTGACCAGTGTTTAGGAACTTTTTCTAAGTAATCCAGGAGTTTTAGTTCCACAACACTGTGAATGCAGTGGAGGATTTCTCTAACCCTCCTGACAGTACGTTGGCAGATACATGGAAGTAAGATGATAAATACAATACTTTTTTGCATAGAAGAATCTTGGGGGCTCAGGATTACATTAAAAAAATATGACTTTTATTTGCCAATCAGTCGTCTGGGAGAATGCCATGCCAAAACAAAACAAACAAAAGAAAAAAAAAAATCAAACAACTTCTGTCCTACCATCACAAATGTAACTAAACTCACATTACTACCACCCTGACTGGAACTGATAAACTGATAAAAAAAAGTGAAGCATCTCTGCATGTTCACTTTCCGTAGCATCGTCATGCAAACACTTTGGTTGGATATGTGCTGAAGCAAAGCGTGAATATGAGAGAAAGTAATTAATGTCACTGTTGAGCACAGTAAAGGATGTGTGATGCTTTGGGTCTGTTGCTATTCCAAAGCACTTGGAAATGTAATTAAAGATCAAGACATCATGAAGTCTTTCAAATACTAGAAAGTTTTAAATAAAAATTTAGTTGCCTTTGCCAGAAAATGGAAAATTGGTCACTGAAGGGTGTTTGCAATTACCCAAATGTGATATAAAAACTGAAGAAACATAGAAGAGACAATGTACAAAGAAATGTTGCATCTTTATCCGGAGGGCCAAAGAGTGTGGCCTAGAAAAATACATTTTTGACATTGTGTTAAAGAAAATAAAATGTGATGGGACCAGTATGTGAAACAAGATGAAACCAAACCATTCTGCCTCTACCTCAGGATAAATGCAGATGGAGAATGAATGTGAGCCTGGGCTCTTCTTCTCCATAATGTCAGCTTCTCCAGAGGCTGTTAGGACACACCACACCTGGATGCAACACACAACGTGAAAAACTGTTCACTTTCCATGACCTATTTGAATTTTATTAATTCGTGTACTTGCAAACAAAGTGCTGAACTATTTTGGCCAAGTTACAGCAGGAGATCTTTGGCCACATGGTGGCAGCAACAAACAAGCTTTCATCATGGAAACTTTGCATGATACTTGTGAAGATGCACGTTTTCATTCTATGCACTTGTGAAATAAATGTTGTATTTCCTTAATAAATCGGCTGTAAATTTGGTCCAAAAAGCAAACGGGAAACATCAAATGAACAAAAAGTGTGTTAATTTTCCCATCCCTTGTGTCCATTCCGACCCTCACCAAGTCTGTCGACGCCAAGCTAAAGTTGGTGAAGATGGCTGTGAGAGTGAGGAGGTTTCGGGCGCTGTTGTTTTCATGGATCCAGCAGCAGAACTTCTGCAAAGCGGCTGGAGTCCACTTGAACTCCTCGGCCAGGGCAACCAGCAGCAGTAGCAAATAGGCAAGAAGAAAGAGGGAAAACTGGAGGACAGCGGGGAACATTCTGCAGGTGGAGCACCCAGCAAGGACAAGAAGAGGAAAAATGTTTATCCAGGACAGAAAATCGAACAGGATGGCAAGAAAATTTTGTCATTCCCTGCCATCTTGCATTTGATTGTTTTGGGGTTTTTTTCACTCAAATTTTTTGGAACAATTCCAAAAAGTATAGTTTTGCTTATGTCTTTTTTAGTTCTTTATCTCACAGTTGTTTTTTGAGACGTCATTATTTTTCTTAAATGCTGGTAATCTCTTAAATAGTCTATCAAATATTTAGGTGTAATGTTCCATGTCTTTAATATTCTGCAACTTTAATTCTTCATGCTTCCTGCATCACAAAAAAACATTAAACAACTTAGCATCTTCAAACCTGGGAGTAGGAATGATGGCCTGGGCAGCCATGAGGAAGAGGAGCACGATGAAGGAGCAGACCATGTTGGAGTTAAACATTTCATCTCTGATCTGGGAGAACTAAATACAACAAAGTAACTTGTTTTAGTTAATTTAAACTATTTAGAAAAATCTGTCATATTAATTTCTTAATACTAAGAAAAAGTACATTACCTCCATAGACTGATTATGAACTGCAGCTATGCTGTACCTTGTTCTCTAAGTGTGTGTCTTTGAACACCAGGGTCAGAGCAGTGATGTGCTCCTTGCGCATGCGCTCGCTGCTTCGAACCTCGATAGCGTGTTTGATGCGTTTGTTTATCTCTCTGGAGGTGCACTGCCATAAACTGGGCAGAGAGCCGTTGGTGAAAGAGGCCAGAATCTGTGAAGGAGCAACATCAAAAAAGACTGAAGCAAATAAAAAGCTAAATAATAAGCACATAAATGTAAACTCCTTAAATCTATTTTGTGTCCCTTCACTTACGCAGTTCATATCGATAGCATGACCAAAAGGGACTTCTGGGTTCCAGGTCCGAATGTTCTTCTGGACTTTAATGGGCTCGGGATGGTCGTCTTGAGTCCTGCCTTCTTGAGGACAAATAAGGAAGGTGTCGATGTTGTGCTTTCGCAGAAACTCATTCCTGTCACGACCATGACCGTCTTCTGTCTTGTATGTAGTTCCCAGGCAATCCAGGGTGGCCCTGGAGATGTGGATACGTCTGGATAAGTGACAAAAAACAAACACGGGTTACACATCTTTTCATCACGTCAAAAGAGACCATTCAGGTGCTTTTCTGTGCTTATTCATATTACACCCACCCAGGTATTCCTCCTGCTTCCAGCTTGTTGGCAATGCTCACATCCCAGGACCAGACATCGAACTGCCATTTCTGCAAGCCCAGCACCCCACAGAGGACGGAGCCGGAATGGATACCAATCCTCATGTTCAAGTCAAAGTTCAGGTGCTTCTGGACGAGTCTGGCATTATTAAAGCAATTAAAAAAAACTTTACTGATCCCAACAACTATAAAACTCATGATCAAGCATCACCTGATATCATTTTAGAGTTTTAAGTAATTTTTTAGAGGCATTTCCTTTTAACAACCTCAGTGCCCCCTCATAAAGAAGAGGAGAAGAGATGCGTCTTGTCTGTGTTCAGAACAGCTCTGTCGCAGAGGTACTCAGTGTGGGTCGAAAATTATTTTTCTCACAGCAACAAACTGAACTTGATCTCTGATGAATGATGCTGTCAGTGCACATTCTGAACAGCTCAGATGTTTTAAAGCACTTTGTGTTAAAACATGTTTTGTCTCCTTCAGTATGGCGTATTTGTATTTTTTGGACAAAAAATAAAATACAGAATCTTCCTCACTAATATTATTATCAAAATATAACATCTAAAAAAGGAGATAAAATTACTTTTTTTAGAATCAAAATGCACTTTTGAGGTCTTTCTAGCCTTACTACCAAACTTCTCTGTGGATTTTATGAAATTTCAGTGCTAAAATCAAACCCACTGCTCACTGGGTACTTAAACTTTAACTGGGATTCTTTTCTTTGGTCTGATTAGGTTAGATAAAACATGAGGACCAAATAGGTTGTCTATCTGGGCAAACCCATGTAGGGCCACCATGGAAACCACAACCAAAAATTTTGGAACCCATATTGTTTGCCCCCATTTATCCCGTATACGGCCCACCTAGATATGCAGGCTGGGAAATATACAGAAATATATGTTTCTGTATGATTTTATGTCAAGCTTTATTGAAGCTTGACATAAAATCAAGCTTTTAACTGAAAAGATTTTCAGATCAGATTTTAACTGGAAAGAAACTAGTTGAACACGTCAAAAAGAAGAAAGCATAAGAGATCCCAAACTCAGCAATCTTGAGAGCCTGTTCAAAGAAACCAGTGTTTGTGTTTTCATTTATTCACACAATCCAGGTATGCACACTCATTATATATCACTCTCTTTCTGTAAGGACATTAACTCTGACCGTATTGTGCTGATCATAGCCAGGCCCATTTCTACGCAGTGACGTGCATGAGCAAGCTGCGGCTCCGGTACTCCTGAAACACAATAGTAACAGTCTCCCAGTATCTTTATCCGCAAACAGTGATGCTCCTGTGATAAGATATAAAAGAATAGCTATTTAGAGTACAGCCAACAGAAAAAATATATAATTTAATATACACAGCTGTGAAAAAATTAGGACATAACACATGAGTAAAAGAAGCTTAATATTTGTTGTTGAACTGCAATTAATTTTAATTAAAAAAAAAACAACATTAGACGTCAATATGTGAACATTACAAAAAAAAATAACTCAATATGTAACAGATTGATTATTGTCCGATCAATGTGAGAGGTCACAGAGAAATGATGCAGGTTCTGACCTCAGCGAGTCGGTCAAAGCGTCCAAAGAGCTCATTAAGGGTTAGAACCATTTCCTTGGCTGATAGGTTTATAGACAACTGGGTGAAGCCCTTAATGTCTGCAAAAAGAATGCTAGAGAGAAGACAGAAACAAGAATAGGATTTAAAGGGCAATTTAGACATCTTTAATGAGTCAGGACAAAATTATTGTTTGCCTAATTCAAAATCTTACATTTCGAATTTTACATTTTAATGTTTGCCTAATTAAAAAACCTTTCATTTAATTCATATTTGAACATATTTATTTTATGAATGGCAATCAAGAGGTCCACAATCATAAAGGTCATGAATCGCAGAGCCACAATCAAAAATGTGTGCCAGTGTAAGTACCTGACATCTTTATACTGGTGGATGTAGATCTTATGAAACTCGTGAGGGTTGAGTTCGTTCTCCAGGGCGCTCATGTCAGCGATCATTTCTAAAGCAACAAAACGAGGGAGGATTGACAGGACCAGTCGCTCCTGTCAGGCGACAGCACAAGGAAGTAATCAATGACTGGCAGTTCAAGGAAAATGTAAAAGAATGACAATATAGCTGGACTAAAAACCCACCTGTTTACAGTTGTATTTGAAATGTAATCAATTACAAATTTAACGATGGCACTTGTAATGTTTTGATTGTTGATTCTGTTCCATAACTTTGTGTTTTTGTGTTTGTGACAATGTAATGCACTTTGAAATACCCTGATGCTGAAATGTGCTATGCAAATAAAATTTAATTGGTTGATTGGTAATTATCTAAAAGGCTGAATGAAAATAAAAATTTGAGAAATTAAAAACTGGTGATTTTTTTGTTTGTTGTCACTTTGTACCTGTCTTTGGTTCTCTTGCTCAAGTTTAAGGCGACCCTCAATGCAGCGCCGCGTCTCCAGAAAAACCTGCCGCTGGGAGTGGTCTGTCAGATAATGGATGAACAAGCCAGCTGTGTTCATGCCCATGTACAGCAGGCCTTTGGCAAACACCTGGAATCAGAGTTGATGTGAGACATTTTCAAAATGTTATTTCAAACGATAAAATCTAGAACATTTGGATGAAAAAAGGTTGAAGGAAATCACTAGCTAACAACAAAATAAAGTAAGAACAAAAAGAAATGAGTTTTATTTAGGCATTTCCTGGAACCTTGTCCAGCACAACAGAATCCACCGACGGTCCTTATCTTCATCTCCCTACTCTCTTGTCTACCACAGAAAGTCACTCATAAAACTTAATTTAGTCCAGAACACAGCCACTCATGTCATGTCCAAAAGCCACTTCACAAGCACGTCTCTCCTGTCTTGCAGATTCCTCACTGGGATTCAAATTTCAAATGCTTCTTCTTACATTAATGGTCATACATGTTTCTTCTTTTTAGAGACACTTGTCTTTTTTACCATGTTGTAATTTTTTTCTTGTGAGTCTCCAGAAGGATTTTTTTTTTGTGTGTGAAAACTAATCTTTTCCTATTTGATTTACTTACCTTATTCAAAAGCAAAGCATCATTGTAGTGGAACCATATCTCCATCAAAATGTGCAGTATTGGGGTGAGGAAGCCAGCACACATTGCCCACAGCAGAGGTAATGGCAGCAATGTGTATGTTGCAAACAATGTGAACAAAATATACCATGATGGGTCTTTTTCTAGTCCATAGGCCAGGCCCCCTAGGATCTGTGTGGTCTGTGACAGCCAACTTGCAATGCCAGCATAATGGAGCCACTGTGGGGACATGGAGTCTTTGCAGGTTAATACCAGAATGCAAAGAGCTATAGCTAGCACCATGAAGATGCCAGTCAAATAGCCACGCAAACGATCCGTAACAGCATCCGGGGCCAGTGCCAGATACAGAACCAACATGTGGAGCTTAGTCACTGCATCGATTACATTGGTGATGGCGAGAGAGTTCCTCCTCTGGTGAGAGGAGTATTGCTGGTAGAGTTTCTCCAGATCGCGGGATTTGAAGGTGTGCCCCAGCATGGGTATGTAAACACTGTGAACAGTGTTACACCAGTGGACAAAGAAGTCAGCGTCGCTGGTGTAGTGCTGCGTTGGAACCCTGATGCTGCCATGCGTGCTGGTGGAGGTTCGACTATGGACTCTGAATATGGAGGAGCGGCGTTTTGTGACTCCCCGGGAGGCGTTGCTGCGGATTTGATTGTTGATCTCATCGATGTAGGTATCAGTCACAAAGATTTTTCGAGCTGGTTCCACGCCCACCTGATGAAAAAAGGAAATCAGTGGTTTGCAATGGAAAATGGCTTTACTAGAGAAAGAAAACATGGTTTTTCACTTTTTCTCATTGTCTATGGTCTACTTTTGTCATATTCTAAAGAAAGTGAGTGAAATAACTGGCGCATTTTCACAATTTTGACTGTGGAGCATCATGCGGAGGTTCTATTTTACTACGAGACCCAAACTGGGTGGAATTGAGTTGAAGTGTTACTCAACTTCAAATGCAACCTAAACACAGAAAAACCAAGGTATAGACTGAACCGTGAATCACCTGAGAGCTGAGCTCTTGTTGGGTAACGATGTGTTTCACTGCGTTCTGCCACAGCATCTTTTTCCGCCTGAGCCCAGGAGACAGTGTGGCACTCAGACATGGAGGTTCATGAAGCTCCATCGGAGAGACCTGCCTGGTGTCAGCATAGGTCACCATGGTGACCTCAGCTGGCATCACCCGGTGGGCTTAGATCAGGAGGAAGCTGAAGACTTGAGGTGTACCAGAGGGAAGGAGAAACAGTGGCAATCAGACGCGAACAATTTCAACATGGAGCCTTAAAATCTTCTACCGTTTTCAAACCAATTTCAATAAAAAATGTGATACCGGTTTCACTGCAACTACATTGGAATTTGTTAATTTGCTCAAATCTGCTGCATTTGCATACCAAACTTCTTCAGAAAAATGGCTCGAATTAAGAGAGATAATGTCGATCTTGTCATTTTTACCAATTCCTTTGTGCAGAGAAGTTTTATTTCCAGGACGCTAAAGACACTGATGTTATTCATACACTCTTCAACTCAGACTCTCACTTAACCTTTCTAATTGGAATCGGGTCAGTTCTTGGAGTTGACTATTGAGCAGAACTGTCTGTGCTTTTAACCACTCAGCACTTGTCCAAGTTGTGTAGCTGCTTTTTGATATCTAAGCATTATCTAAATACACCCAGGTTCCATCAATGGTAATCTGTCATGCAGCAAACCCATGTTTCACAGATAGCATAAGGTTCCTAATCTAATATAAACTGTGTTGTTCATTTGAACAACTGAGAACAACTGTTTTCCTGAGATGAAATGATTATCCAACATACAATTTGTGTTGATTCATTCTTTAAAATATCAGCAATGTGCAAAAATTCTTAATTTACTGGTCATAAATTCCAACTTGTCATTTCTTGTTTTTAAGAAAATCACTGAAGTTAGTTGTTGTATCATTGCAAATCAGAAAAGGAAGGAAGAGGTAACCAGCTTGTCATAATCCACTTCTGCTTCAACATTTAATGTTTTCAACATTTCTGTTCATGCATATATGAACAAAGTTTTAGGATTTAAAATGGAGCTTTGAAGCTCTGATGAAATTTTAGAATATGCATATTAATTTGACCACTTTCATTAAAACAATTTACTTTAATTATATCTCCAAAACTGCAACACAGTTTTGGTACTTATGAATAAGTCATAAAGGAGTACATTTCTTAAATTCTAAAGATAACAAGGTAATGTTAATTATAGCTTAAATTTAGCTCGTTTTATACCTTCTTCTACCAACTAAAAAGGTACAAAAATGTATAATTTGATCTGTTTTGAGATTCCTGAGGCAGATTTGGGTATGCAGCAAACACTCAAAATAAGACTTGTTGGCTCCACATGTTGGCGTGTGCTGTGAGGAAGGCAGCTTTCAACTGAATTATCTGGTAGCCAGAATTAGCTCTGAGCTGGTTTATGGAGAGTTAAACTCCTCCAGGTCCTTCTTGCCTGCATTCAAGTCTCTAAAAGTCCACTATCACCAATCTTCTTCTCTCAAAGATTAAGCGTCCACACACACAACAGGCTGGATGTAAAAAAAAAAAACTATATATATATATCTGTTTATAAAAAACGCTTTGTCATTTGGGCATTTAGAAAAAAGGAAATAAAAGTGGGAACAAGCAGAGTTTGTCTTTGTGAATCATGTTTAATTACTTGAGCCTGTCAGTTACCAATATGTATGTTTCAATGCTGGAGTCCTGTATACTGTTTTTGCAACTATTCTGTGTAATTTGTATCATGTAGGTTACTAACCTCTTTTGTTTTACATATTATGCCCCCACTCCTCAAATCCAGCACTTGTCCTAGGATAGATGTAACCAGCTTGTCATAATCCACTTCTGCTGACTCCATTGGACAGCAATCGTAGACAGATATCATAATAAAGATGTATCCCATACAGGGAAAAAAGAATAGTGTAAATCCTGAGGTAAAGAGGACTCTCCGGCACTAAAGTTATCTTCCCATCAAAGATGTGTGAACTCGCTTCCGGTAAGTTAGGTCACCACCTGGACGCGTTTGAAATGAAGTCAACAACTGCCACAAAGCGAAGCTGCGGAGTGAGGAACACTAAGAGGATTAATTAGTCAGCAGCCACTCTCTTTGCCCTGCAAAGCTGAGTTCACTGTCCTCAAGATGGGGCCAGGATAAATGCAACACTCTCATCTATTTAAGACAACACAGACACATCAGTGAAATAGCATTAGAACAGAACCATATTCGCGACTCTCTTTCCATGCAGTCTTATTCATGTAGTTCACTGTGTCACAGAGGCGATTTCTCGCACCCTGCATGATCTGTCTGTACAGGCTGTATACAAATAAAAACACTGCCAAAAGGTCTTTAGAATCTGCCGGCGCAAAAACAGCCAGGCTGACTCACCCACCTCCTCTACAGCACCCAGAAGGGATTCGGCTGCATGCAAATGAAACTACCTGTGTTGTACTTTCTCTTAAAACAGATTGTTTTAAAGGTAAAAGCAGAGATTCATTTGGCTAATAAAGATGCTTCTTTAAGATTTTGTGCGCTAAGCCTGTGCTTTGTGTTTCATGAAATTATAACCAATCTAAACCAATTTTATATTTTAAATACTGTAAGAATAGTCCAGCACTGTTTATGCCTTTTATACAAGTACCCCACTATTTTTTCACACAGACACTGGTTATTTAACTTTAATTACACACAAAAATCCACCCATCCATCCATTTTCTTCCGCTTGTCCGGAGCCGGATCGCAGATAAGCGGATCTTTACAGGTTATTATTTGTAAAAGCTCTATTAGAACCTTTTGATTAGGTCCTCTATCTTCCATGGTAGGCTTTTTTCTGTTGCTAATTGAAACTGATTGTTTTCTTGCAGTATTTGTATACATATAAAATGCTGTATGTGGGGCAGGTATTCACCTTCCAGCAAGACACCAAGCCTAACGTACAACCTGAGCTACGATGGCATGGCTTTGATCAAATTACATGTGCACCCGTTAAAATGATCTTGACAAAGCTCAGACTCATACCCAATCAAAACAATTGTGGAAGAATGTAAAATGTTTCCAGACACTCTCCACAATGAGCCTGAACTATTTTTCAAAGATGACTTGACAAACATTTCAGTGTCTAGATGTGAACATCTAACAGTAACGTACCGTGAAAAACTTTTAAAATGTTTTTGCAGGTGCTTTGATAGGAAGACTGAACACCACACCTTTAGGATTTTAATTTGAAAATAATAGTTACATGTCGTTTTCCTCCACTTCCTCCGTGTTTGTGTTGGTTTGTCTTGTGAAATAAAAAAATGCATGATTCTAATGTTTCAAAATCAGACAAAGAGAGATGAATATCAATAATAAAAAAAAATTAATAAAACATTCATGAAGAAAAACTAAAATTAGGATTAGATGCTTGAGTCACAAAAAAATTTAACACAGTTTATCTCAACTGTTTGTGAAAAAGGGGAGATAAATGAGAGGGTTTGGTGCTTTGAGGACTCCTGTGTATAATGAATAAAATCTGTATTATCGAGAGCAACAGTCCTGAGTATTGCGGAGCACTTTTTCTCACTTGCCACATAATTCCCGCGTCTCGGTGGTGGTAAGCTGTTTAAAGTTTTTTAAACTGCTAATTGTTTCCAGGCAACACTCAAAGCCCCTAAGGCTGATCTGATATGCTTCCATCTGTCCCTGTGCGGCTATGTTGCTCAAACCTTTTATGCCGATTACTGTGCTTCTAAACATAGCTGGTCTTCAGGTCTGGAGCACATAACTTATACCACAACTGAAATCAAACCATCGTCTTCCACTCACAAAGCAACGCATAACAGTGAAGAGCCTTTTGATGCGTCTCATGTGATGCTGTGAAGGAGGAGGAAAGCAGCGAATATCGCTTTTGGGGTTTTAAATCTTCTGATTGTTACTGTTGGTCATCTGCTTGCATTTAATTCACAGTTTCATTCAACACGTGATGCTGGTTTGGGCACAAGCCTAGATACAGATTAGTGTTAAGACCAACTGCTTTGGATGCCCAGTAATTAGATAATTCTCATTTGCACCAAAGCCAAACTAACAACAGAACTGACCCTATGGCCTGGGAAACCGTGCCAAGAACCTCACTGATACCAGACACACATCTATTTATGTCCGCCGGTGTGCAACAACGATAACTCTTAGCACTTTTGCGTCCTGCATTGCGATACATTACATACTTCTGGGTCAAATTGCTGAAATCTTAAAGTGTTATCATAGGAAGGCAGTGCTAGCAGTAGTTGGTCAAGCTATATTTTGCTTAGATAAAGAACAGTAGGTTATAAATAGCAGCTATAAATAAAGTGTAGATCAATTGGGGACAAAAGCAGAGTCTTGAAAGGACTCTGCCTCAGGTCTATTTGAAGTAACAGGTTTAACTTGATTTCACAGTCTTTTTTTAACACTTTTTGTGCCATTACCCACTCATATTCACATAACTTTTCACAACATTTATTTAACTTAGATAATATTTCACAAATTAGTTTCTTTGACATACAATAAAATAAGCCATCCTCCAACATATTTTGTTCTCTAAGTGATTTTAAGCTTTTTCAATTCAGAACAAGACTCAAGTCTTGAATCCTGACTTCAACACTTGAGTGTTTGTGGGGCTGTGTTAGCAGTGACATACAGTCACGGCCATAAAGTTGCCTAAAAAGTCTGCAAATAAGTTGTAAAGATTTTTAACAGTTACTTTTATAAATAAAAGTGACGATAATAATGTGACTTTAAGTTAATTTTACCAATCCTTAGCTTGCTGTTGTGCCATACTCTGTATATTTTGTGACAATGGATTGAAAAGCACATTGTGTTTGAAGCTTGGAATATTATTTTAAAACCTAAACCTGCTTTAAACTTGCTAAACTTATGGCGTACTCTACAGTCTTCGCCATCCTGTAAACGAAACACGAACCTCACAAAACTGCTGTTCTTATTCTGGGAATATTAAACACTAGTGGACCAGTGGCGTGAGGCTGATTGCTTGTACAAATGCATGCCACACATTTTAGATGTTTATTTGTAAAACAATGCTGAAAATCATTCATCTCCCCCCCAACTCCTCAATTATGTGAAACTTTGTACTCCTCTATCACGTAAATGTAAATAAATGCTGACATTTTTGGCTGTGACAAAATGTGGAGTCTTACAGCAGGCATATACTTTAGAAATAAAATATAAGCCTATTTGATGAAACTAATTTCTAGATCTAAATGTGCATCACAAACATCAGACACATTACTTCAGCATGAGGAGGCCAGCTATATTAGAGGGTGTTTTCAGAATTTGATTAATGTTCACACAAACATGTTTAATAGTTTTATGTTTATGTATTAGTATTCTGATCATTGCTATTTCTATAACATCATATTTGCAGTATACAGCCAACAGCTTTGTCAGACAGACAACACAGGATACAGACAACACAGGATGCGAGCTAATTATGTTCAAACTTGACAACAAGGTGGTGTCCGAGGGGTCCCCTGGTGGGTTGTCACAGTTAGCAGCTAGGCGTCATCTGCTCGGGGCTAAAGGGATTTAACGCTGGCCTGAGCCAAATGACTACTCCCTCTAGTATAATTTAACTTGAAATAACGTGGTCTACATTAACTCGTTGCATGCTAAAGGCTTTGAGGATTTTGTTTTCGCTTAATGGTAAGCTTTGCTGTCATTCAGTAATGTTATGTTAGAAACAGCAGGTGTTAGCATGCTGAACAAGTAGCATAAACAAACGCTAGGTTAACTTAGAACAGTGTTGTGTAAACAAGGTACAAGGTTTATATTTTGTTCACATATCATGTGAACATTCACACTACATAGCCACCAAGTCTATATAATCGGTGATGTTTAAGTTATAGCAAGGAAAAGCAAACCTCTAGCAATCCATATTCGTTTTCATAACATTGCTGTCCGCATTATCTTTAAAATTCAGTCGTTGCATTTCAGTAAACTTATAAGAGTAACTGAAAAGATTCATAACCTCGATTAATATAAGGTATATTCAGATGTTATCTAAATTTGTTCACGCACTAGCTAAGTTTGGCATACTGACATTAGCAGGCCAAAGAAAAGCCGGCGGGTTTCCTGACTCTCGAAGCCCTGGCAGACACTCTTCCCAGAGCTCACGTGCAACCCAACTTTCCGTCTGCTTGATTAGCAACGCCGCCTTGTGACTGAAATCCAGCATGACAGGTGAGTAACTCGTCAACTTCACACCTGCACCAGAAATGAGTTAGATTTTAAAGAATCCGCATGAAAATATGTCAGATAATTTCCATGAAAATACAAATATTTACTCAGATTCTGGTGAAAGGAAAAACCACCTATTCTTTTCGAGTATAAACTTGTTCCAGATGTGTGCATGAAACAAGTCATCTCAGGACAGACAAACTCTGGCACATTTTTTTCCCTCTACTTGTACCCTCATCACATCCAAGTCCACATTCCCTGAACTTCAAGCCCACTCACTGAATGACAGTCCCACGGTGCCCCTCGTTCCCAGCCTATCTCCACCCTCTTCTCCTTGTGGTTGGACAGTGAGCTCCATTGTGTCTGTGAGATGTTTTTTAATGAGCGAGATTCACACTGAGCCTGGAGCTGCTATTGAAGGATTTGTTGCTAATCTCTTAGTTAATGCGGACAACTTGACTGTGCTAACATAAATTGCGAAGAAGCCTCAGGACAGGGAGATGCAAGTTGGTATTCAGAAGAGATTGATGGTGTATACTTTTTCTTTTGGTGGTTGCAAGTGTTCTGCAGAAGTCGGTTTTGCAGTTTAGTTTTGCCAGGGGGAAAAAGTGCATGGTTTGGTGTGGTGCTTTTTGCCACTAAGCTCATTTATTTGTCAGAAAACGTAATTTCCAGTGACTTAAAATAACAGAACTGTTTCACTTTGATGGTTTCAGATTAAGATCAATATTTGTGGCTTTGGTATTTTAAGTTATTGTGTCTGGGTAAAGAAGAATAGTTTATGTGTGTGTATTGCCCACTATGCCACTGCCTGCAACTGATGTCCCAGCCA